CAGCCTCTACTCATGTTTGCCATTTTCAGTCCCCTGAAAGAGAAAACGCAAATTAAAACTGATGACAAATGCATTCATTGGGGTATATCTCACACAGCTGCAATAGGGATAATTGGAAGCTTAAACCCTAATCCTGCAACACTTAAGCGGTGCTTAACTTCAGTGCATGCAGGTTGACTCAAATGCAATTACTCATTTTTTCAAAAGTGCACTTGCTGAATCATATGATAGAGGGGCAGAAATGGGGCTTTAGTTAGCAATGAGCTGCTGAAACTCTGTGCAAAGAAACAGACCTGTAGAATTGCAGTTGACTCATACAACATTTTCATGTAGCACACAAGCATGTGTATACAGTATTCACATCTCCAGTATTCTTCAAGTATGTTGAAATTATTGATGGAGTAATATATTTATGTTCAAAAAGAACAATATAAATAGAAAAATAGAAATCCCGTAGCAAATAGCAGTAGGTTTAGGTTAATCTCTATGCATATGCCATAGTATAGTGATTTGTCAGAAGGAATGTGTTGTATGGATGTAGTTATTATTTGTGCCTGTCATGAACTCACCCTCAGCAAGCTCTGACTTTTTTAATGTGACAATATTATTTAATTTTATTCTTTAATCTGAAAAAGCGGCCTGAGATCAGTAAGGGGATGGTTTTATCTTAATCATCACTCCTTTCTTCATAAACATGCAGATGTTTAGCCTTCTAGTAACTCTAGTGATGATTTTTTCATGCATGAGGACAATGAAATGTAGTTTCACCTTAAACACTATTAAAACTGGTAGTGTGGTTATATTAATATCAGAAGGACATATTGCTTGTGCCTTTTTGGAAGCTGGGAAAACATCACAGTAGAGCTTAAAGTGAGGTTGTTTTTTTTCTCCTTTTACTCTCTAGTGAAAGAGTGTAACATTGACAGGAATGTTGCTGGGCTTTTTTTGGAAAGATGTGTTTGAATATACTTTTCTTCACTCCACTATGATCAACAGAATTGGCAGTTTCAGATGTCCTCATTTTTGCTTGTGAGAACCTCTTAACCAACACTACATCTTGCAGGAAAACACTGAATGGAGTTTTTTAAGTGTTTATCCTCCACTGATATTAAAGGTTTTAAGTGGGTTATGTATGAAATATAATAGTGGTTGAAAGGGGCTCTAATTCAGTGAACTTTTGGCTACCTCTGCTAGAAACCATGAATTTTATATCCTTTTGAAGTATAGGGGAATTTATCTTACATTTATTTCCTTATTTTCTGTACCTTGAATGCCAGATGAAATTAGTATGTCAGGGTTAAGAATTGGATGCAGAGGAAGCTTGTTGATTGAGGGATGGGTAGGCAAGAAAAGCAGTTTCACCCAACTGGTGAGACCTGGATCTGTTTCTCTGGTTTTGCATCTGGATGCACCTTCTAGCTATAGCTTACTCCTAGGGGTAGGTGAGAAGGTGTCACATTTCATATGAAGTCACATGAAATTCTGTTGATCTCTGATGGCAAGGTGTAACATTGGAACTAATGTTACTGTTACTGGTTTTTTTAAAACAGTTATTTACAGAGATTTGTCTTAACTCATGTCAATAACACATCTCTGTCACATTCTGGTTTTCATTGGAAGGAAGGACAGGCATGCAGATGGCTGGATATCACTTCATGATCAGGCCAGGCCTCTATCAGAATGACCTGAGGGCACCAGAACTGTATGGTACAATGTGGAGCACGCATTCCAACAGCTAGAAAAGCCTGTGTGTGCTCAAGTGAGACACTGTTGTTTTTTTGTGTCGAGTCTCCACAGAGTGAGACAGAAAAGAAAAAGCTGGAAGTGTACCCATAGGACATAGCAGACAAAGGCATCTTTTGGGGTGAATGGGAGTTGTGACAGAAAAGAGGATGATACACCTAGAAGACAGAGGAATGGTAGCTCCATTATACCCTCTTCTACTGAATGGAATGGCTGGGCTTAATGCATAATGAAGATAAAAGTTTTTCTAGTACAAGAGCTAAAGGGTGTTTTTCTTCCCTATGATGTGCACCTGTGTTTTGCCAAGTTGGAGTCACCAGGTTACTTTCTTTAATTTGTCTGAGTCTAGCAAAAATACTTGCACTAAATGTTCTTCTAAAATGCAAACATAAGTCAGTGTGAAGTACTGTTACATGCACACCCTTATCATATGCGTATAGTTATGACATAGGATTACGCATGTAAGAAATTGCTTAGGCATTTAATGTAACAGTAATTCACAGCAAATGGCCCATAAATAGCCGGTGTTGCTAGTGTACCTGGAAATCTGATAGCAAGTTCCTCTATGACGGGATGTGTCCGTAGAGTAGTTTGAATTACTTGTTGTTTGTGTTGCATTACAAGTAGGTTTGGGATCCTTAAATGATCTTAGCATGGTGTCGTGTGAGCTAGGATCTCACAGCTTTTGTCTTTTAGTTAAGGGTATAGCTGTAGAATTTCTGTCATGACTGCTCTGAAATTTAAAGAGATAGATTTTCTGAAAACTTTTAGGAACATATGAGCAAAATGTTTGGTACTAGCGTCACCATAATATATGTGAGTTGAGTGTGTACACATATATTTGCAATACAATGCATACGAAGACATGAATATTCATTCATATATTTTGACTTGATGATCTAAAAATCTTCAAGATTAATATAGGGATTTTTTAATCTTGGAATTATATCTTGTAGTCAACAGGAAATATGATCACTCCTAATGGAAATTCTTTCCTTGATGAGATTGTATTTGTATGTGAAGGAGTATATCTAATACCTTTTCAGGTCAAAGCAGACAAAGCTAGTACTCTTATAATTATTTTGTTTTCACTGAAAAGGGGCACAAAAGAAACAAAGATACTTGTCAAACTAATAATGGAAGCCTATAGAAATTAAATCTGATTCAACCATGAATACTTTATATATTTACCTGATGAGGGAGGGAAATTCTCACACCTGTTGCTCAAGTAGCTACATGAGTTAGGGATTTGGTGCTTGTTTTGTTTTGTGGGGGTTTTTTTTCTGTTTTTTACCTAGATTTTAATTTAGATGAAAAGGAATGGGAGTGTCTTTGTGGTGTCTGTGTAGTGTATTGATTTCACTGTTGTACTTTAAAGGGCTAATTTACCATCTGTATCTTATCTATATGAGTATGTCCTTCATGTCCAGTCTAATAAATGTTAAGTTCCTGGGTTTTTTAGTGGGACTGGGATAAATCAGTCTTTTTTTTTTTTCATCCCTAGGGCATTCTTCTCTGTATCACAGAGTTGCCCTTTTACCTGTTCAGTGTAATTTAACTTGAATCAGGAAATCAGTTGAATCTATGTCTGGAAAACAAATGAATCTGAGGAATAAATGCTCCCCTAATCCCTGGGGACTTAATATTTTCCATCACTGTCATATTATACATGTAATAAAGTTCCAAAAACCAAAGTAAATAAGAGAGGTCATTCTGTTCATAGTTCTCAGGGACTAACTAGATGCTTAAAAGCAGTTTGGTGAACATTTGTCCGATGAAGCTGCCCTTTTTTTTTGTATCTACCTGTGTTTCATGGATCTCCAAATATTTTTTTTTTTTTTTGGTCTCTAATTACACAAATCTTGGTGAATTTGAGGTATGGAAGACAGTAGATTAAATCCTGAGTTCTCCACTCTCCCATGAATGTGCTTTTAAGCCTCAAAGAGCAGCATGGCCAACAAACAGGTTTTTATCTCTGAATTTCTGGTTTCAGTCAAATACAGAGGAACCTTTGATTCTTATTCTTCTTAAAAGGCTTGGTTTCAGTGTATGTGCCAGAAGTCTTCAGAAAAAATGGACTTGAAAAGGTGATACTGGTCTAATATCTAGACAAAATAGCTGCAAATTCCAGTTGCTTTCCCTTTAGTCTTTAACCTAGAATTACTTATGCACGGTGAAACACATCTAAGCAAATGTGTCATCTTAGACTTTGAAAATCTTAACTATTGCTAATTTGTAGGGTTGGGAATGGGAAAGGGTTACCTATGGATTTCTTTATATTTCAGTCAAGTTTCCCATTCAAGTTTATGCCATTATTTCTAGCAATAACAACAATAGCAATTAGAGTTCAACAGATTTCCATAGGTGCCGCATTTGCATTTCAAGGGTAAAGCATGGTGAGTGCATTTTGTACAGTCACTCCTCGATGAAAGCAGCAGTGGTGGTGGCAGTATTTAAGTGGTTAGTAAGGATGCCTCTGCCCGGGCCACCACATAGCAACTACTATGTTTCTAAGGACAAATAGCTCTTGCCTGCCCTAAGCAACTGGACCAGAACATCAAAACATGCCTTGTAAGAGACCTCTCATACCCATTAGTGTTAGCAACTCTTACCTCAATCATGAATGACTCAGCCCTAATTATTAAGGTAATTAGAAGTTATAACACTGGCAATATTAAAGGGAGAACTTCTAAAGCCCGTTAACAATGTTACTTTAAGTGATCTGGCTGTGAACTGTTCAAATCTCTAATTACATTATATGTCTGTCTTAAAGGGTGATGTAATTAAGTGATAGGAGAGGGAATGAATATATAGTGACTACTGTGCTATACTTTGTAAGTACTATTTTCATTGAAACCAGCCTCAGTAATGTCATAATGACATGTAGGGATGGGGTTTTTGCTAGACTGTATACCACATGTGGCTAAAAAATACTTAGAATATAAAAAAATTATATATCATGGTTTAGTATAACGATATTGTCAGAATGAAGTTGGATTGGATACATTATTCATGCATGACAAAACCATCAATGCGATGGCTTTTTTCGTGCCACCTTGAATAGCACTACACTTCAACATCACCAGTGTAAACAGGTAAATACCAATATCCTGTATATACTACATGAAGGAAACTATTTTAAATATTTTAGAAGAAAATACATAAAATGTTAAAAAAATGAGTCAGACTTATCAAAAGTCAACAAAAGTTGTCCTTGAGTAAGAACTGAGAGCAGGCTTCTACATTTTGACTTTTAGATGTTTACATCATGCATTTTAATTGAGGACTGGAGGAGAACAGAGGGAGCTTAGCACCAGTCCCTTCTTTTCAGATTGGAAAGACAGGTGGAAGAAAATGGGAATATAGTGGAAAACAAAGTTTGATGGAATAGGACACTGTAATTCTCCAGTAATCTTTGGTGAGTTTTCAAGAATGCTTTTCATTAAATAAAAAAGTAGAAGATTAATACTTTCCCATGTTCAGTAAAATATTCATTAGCTCAGCAAAGAGAAACAAAATCAAGTAATTCCATCTTTAAAGTTCTTTTTATTCAGAAATTGGCCATTTTTTCTAAGCATGAAACCTCCAAATTCTAAAAGACAGTGGATCTAAGTGCTAGAGTTTGGTTTCTCTTCTGCCTTTACCAAAACCATCTGTTTGCATATGGAGCAATCTGTCACCATCTGTATGCATATGGAGCGATAGTAGCAAAGTTTTTTTTCCAGTTAGGTGGTTCTATTTTTGAAATGTTTCTTCTGAATTCAGTGAAAGTAGAAGAGGTCTATATACAACAACTCAAAATCTATGCTCTTTTATTCCGCTTACCTTTTCACATTTGATGGCCCATCATAAGCTGAGAACTCTATATTTTTAGAGATTATTAGTGGATGACCCTTTTACTCTTCCTCCAAATTCTGTGGGGTGCCTGAAGTGATAAAAATTTGTCTGCATACTCAAACAAGCATGACAAGGTCTGACTGTCACTTGGGTGTGTGGGGACACTGACAAGCATTCAGCCCTGTGTAAATGCTCCCGTGCTTGCAGAGGCACACAGAATCACAGAATTGTAGAACTGACCTTTTACAAGATCAGATTTTAAAAACTTTTTTACAAAAGAAAAGGCAAAAAATATATTTTCCTTCTTCAAAGAAGAAAAAAACCACGAGGACAGAATTTTCCTGTTTAAAAAACAGGTCACTGTTAAGCCATGCACAGAAAACGTGTAGCTTAATGGGGATTGGGCTCATCAGAAAACTTCAATATGAAAATTAAGAATTAAAGTGAACTTTTCAGATGATCTCAGCTTTCATTCTTGCCCTAGCGAAAGAACTGATGTGAACAGAGGCCCTGGTAGAAAATATCCTTTGTCAGGAAAGCACTCAAGCTCTTTCTTAAATATATTCCTGAATTGAATATAGGCTATAAACAAGGATAAACTGTACATTCATAAATGGTAATTGTAACAATTTCTCTTGACTGCCGCTTTATGAAATCGCTGGTGTGCCGGGGCACAGAGAAAAGTAGAATATGATCCAGTGAGCTTGTTTCTTCTTATTGCCTCAAAGCAAGAAACATTTTTGGATGTACTACCTTAGCTCCTGCTTCACACACTAACAGTTTTCTCAAAGATTTGGAACAGGCATTTGTGAACATGTGATCAGAAAGTAGTTCCACAGTTTGAGCGTATTGTTTAAGTCAGCTCTCTGTCAGGGTAAAAAGTCATCGGTGCAGCCATTCCTGGCTAAGTTCCTGTGAGGTAACATATTAATACAGGTCTTCACTTGAACTAATACCTCTCTGTTGTCAAGGTGCTTGCTGCTGAACTCTGTTGGCCAGAGAGTTTCTAGCAGAATCAAGGGTCTCAGGTTAATGGCTGGGGACATGTTTTTTACTCCATATTTTAGAGATGAATCTGAGGCATACAACTTCATCCTGCAAAAAAAGAAATACCCTTCTCTCAGACACAAAGAACAGATCGTTCCTATCTCAGTTTGAAGGCAGAGAGTTATATTCCTCAAAAAGCAAAAAGAAAGAATGAAAGTAAAACCAAAATTTATCTTCTTTGCGGACTTCAACAAGTAATCAATACCTTAGTATCTAGCTGGAGCTGGGTGTAGAGCCCAATCAATAGAGAAAGCAAGGCAAGTCAAAGTCAGGCATTAGAAGAGTAAAGATATACAAGGCAAGCATCTAGGCAAGACCTAGGATCAGAAGCCAAGCCAAAGGACAGGACACTGGATACAGTTGTACCAACTTGAAGGGCAAAACAAAAAGGAGGTCAGAGGCAACGGTCAGAAAGCCAGGGAATTACAATGCAAAGCAGAGCATGGGAAGGGGAGCAAGACACAGGAGGAGCCAAAGCCAGAGTAAGCAATTAGGGTGTCATTATTCCTTTGACATGCAGGACAAAGGGCCAGCCAAGCTCAGCTGGTTGTGATTATCAGGGCTTCAGGGGTCAGGAAAAGCTGGGCAAGAGAGGCCTGGCAGATCCCTGGTGCTGGATTTGGAACAGGAAGGTTATCTCTGCTTTCTACTACTCAGTCAAACATAAGGCCTAAAATATTTCACACTGAAAATAGACATTTTTAAACAATTGTTCTGATATGAGCAAGCAAAGGCCTGAAATAAACACTCTGTGCAGATGTGCCTAATTTACTCAGCTGCAGTATGGAGACATGGATATTGAAATAGTCAGTGACCTGACCTTGGTCCCCAGACTACATAGGACATGGCACTCAGAGGCGTTTGTGTCCCTAGTAACTAGAGGGCAAGTATTTCTATGAAAATACACTACAACAATAGGGAAAAAAAGAGAGAAAATGCAGTGAGATACCTTGCTTTGGTTGGTATGAGGATTATGAAAGTAGGTTTTTAAGTCTGCAGAAAAGGAGATACAGTCAGCAGATGATATAATGATGCATAGGAAGGTATATGTTCATGAAACCTATTCCAATTTTTCTGTATTTTGAAATTTATATTTCTGAAAGAAAAGTCATGCCAAGTTACATGGCAGCAATATTATAATGATGCTTAAATTCTACTTAAATTAATGTTTAAATTCTGGAAATTATGGTGAAGGATTTTTCCCTGGAGAAGGAGACATCTAGACTCCCAGATCTCACTAAGAATCAAGAAAAATCAGGCCTTTCATTCTCAGTTGCATCTTAATCCCCACTGTCTTTCCCAGTCCTGAGGTGCTGATGCTGAGAGGTGCTCCAATTACAATTTTAATTTTTTTCTTACCTTCCATAGACATTATAGTATAGTCCTTAATTTCATGATTACTTACCTAGTCTCAAATCCCCCAATGTAAGCAATATTATTTCTATGGGCATCTTTAATAATAGTTAGAAATGCTCAAGCATTCTGTTCTCCTTGTGCTTCCAAATGGAGAGAAATATGAACATTAAACTTGATGTGTTGGTTTTTCTTAATTAAGACTCCTCAAAGATGCTGACAATATTTTATTACAAGAAGCTCAAAATGCTCTACTTAAATAAAATACAACACAGGTGGTTTTGGTAGTATGACTAATCAAGAGTTGTTCATACCTCTCTTTGGTTTGGAGAAGAGAGGGGGAAGGTGGCAGATAAGTGAAGCTCTGACATAAAGGTAATGCTGAGCTGTTGTTCACAAAATTCTACATTATGAGAAGTAGAGGCTGCTCAGTGAAAATAGTAGGAGTCTGAATTAAAGCAAAGAAGCAGTCAAGCCTTTTACCCACTGGATAGTGAATTTCCAGAACTTGCTACGACAAGAGGTTGCAGGGGCAGACCCTAAGATGGTCTTCAAAACAAGAGCCAGAAAAATCCATGGACAACAAGTCCATAAAGAGGTATAGAAGGACTAGACAGGGAGGTGTCCTCTGAAATCCCTGGTGTTTCTATTTGTGTGATGAGGGAATACAAAAGAAATGGACTGCAAATAATGACTAGGTTCACATGCTGTCTGTGAATGACATCTTCTTTTGCCACTGAGACAAAATACTGGGCTAGATGGACAACTAGTACAACCCAGCAGCTTCTCATATTGCCATGCATTTTACTGCTTGTGGATTTGGGTCACCTCACCAACATGCTATCTGCTAATTCATTCTTTTTGAAGCAATTTCAGCACCATACACTAAGGACCTCTCTGCTGCCTGGCCATAGGGAATCTCTTGTTGTAAAACAATTGCTTGGATGTAGGTGGTGAGGTGGCTATTTGACTAAACTAATCTGGGAAGATAGAGTGCACATCAAGATTAAATGGTGCTCTGTACAAATTAAGTGTGAACAGCTTGTCAGAGAGAGTAAGAGGCAGAGAGGAAAAGACCATTTACTAAACCCTGGGATAACTTCATTAAACCTGATTTTATTCTGTCTCCATTTGTTGCCCAGGCTGGCTTGAGCACTGATGCTGCCAGCATCTGTGTGAAAGAGGCACCTTCCTGCAAACGTATTTAGACAAATAACCTCCTTTAGCTGTAGTAGGACAGAGGAACAGTGACTTAGTGGGATTTGTAACAGCAGCATGCAAAATCAGCACAAGTATGTGAATTCTTAATGATGTCCTTAGCTAGCTGCTTTGTTGCAGTTTCAGTTTTCTTGTGTTTTTCATCATTCATAGGGATCTGTATTATCATATTGGTCATACATTCCTAGTTGGGAAATATCTGACATCAGTTAACTAAGAGAATTCAGTTACAGGTCTTCTCTAAGTTGAACAAAGTCTATAGGAATGATCAAGGAATGTAATTCACTGCAGATGGTGCTTGAGTGGGAATCTGGGACTCCTAATCCTCATTTTTCTACCAGTCTGATAAGCCACTTCACTACCAGCTTCAGTCCCGCTTGTTTTCTCCAGGCTAGAAGAGGGAGATGATAAGACAGAAAATCTAGAAGTTACCTTTAATTCTTTGGAATTTGGCTCAGGGCCTTTTCTAAATCAGAATTCAAATTCTTGTGCTAAGATACATGGCTCACATGTTATGTTTCTGTCTGCTGATAGGAAGAGGGAAAGATTTAGGAAAAGGTGAACTTCTTCTTACTAAGAACTCATTTTAGTGAATGTTGTGCAATATATATTTAATTATATTTTATTATTTAATTATGTTCTTACCAATAAACTTAATTGTTGGAGCATTTTTTGAAGAAAAATATAGAAACCTAAAAACATATAAAAAGGAAAGTCATTTAAAGCATGAATATTTGAGAGCATCTTCTATAGCTATGGTGTTTGAAAAGTTTTCATTACTATCCAATTCCTGGCAAGCATACAAAATTTGGGACTGCAAACTGCAAACTGAGATTACCTTTCTGTTAAAGAAATGTCTGTAAGATAGAGCCCATGGTCTGGTGTGCACTGATGGACCAGTCTACACAGTGCGTTGTGGCCAGTTTCATCTGATGAGTAAGAATCTTTTATTTATGTAACACC